GCCAGACTCAGACCTGCAGCCGTCCCAGATCACACAGCCCCAGGGATGGGACCAGGAGCCAGCAAGTGTCCCACCTGGAGCAGTTCCTGTGCCTTTAAAGCCTTCCCTCCCCCCACCCCGCCCCACCCACCCCTGGGCCACTAGGGGAGGGAAGGAGGAGCTGGGTCACAGCAGGGAATCTTACCTTGGTTTGCTGGATGACCAGACCAGGAGTCGGGTGAGCCAGGAAGTGAGGGCAGCTGGCTGTGCCCCAGTGCTGTGTGACCCAGAGGAACCACTCACCCTCTCTGAACTGGTGAACATCATAGGTGGGGAAGCTCAGGCCAGGGCACTCCCAGGAGTGTCTGGAGGCCTGAGTTCCATTCTCAGCTGTGCCATATGCTTGCTGCGCTCTAGAGGAGCTCCTCTTCCTCTCCGAGCCTCGGTTTATGCGCCTGTGCGGTGGGAGTGAGTTGCACTTCAGGGTGAAGGGGGTGAGACTGGTGTGGGCGCACCCTGCAGAAGGATCCCACAGGTGGGCAGAGCCCTGGGTTTTTTTATCCGACTGAGTCTGGGCTGGCGGGGGGCCTCCGTTTCTTGACTGATGAGTGGGTTTGAGTGAGGTATGCGGGTGGGTGAAGGAGGGCTGGGGGGAGTCACCTGACTTAGGCAAAGAAGCCCTTGAGACAGCTGTGGCTTCTTGGAATTAAGAGGGAAGAGTGCAGCATGGAGAAACTGAGGCCCGGGAGGATTTGGCAGCCCTGAGTGGGGGTGGGGGGATCAGCTCTGGAGTAGAGCCAGAGCTGTGATGGGGTTGGGGGACCCTGTGTCCTTGGGCCATGCTTGTCCCACTCCTGGGCTCTGTCTGTGGCTGTGGATTGGGGTGGGACAGGGCTGGTTGTGCGAGAGGTCATTGCCCAACTCCAGAGGGTGCCTGCCACCTCTCAGCTCTATATAGGGATACATATAGTTCTTTCAACAGGTTTCCAGCAGGTTGTGGTTATTAAATTTTACTGAAGGGGTGTTTTTTCTAATTGTCAACTCTGCGCCGCAAGGGTGGAAACTGTGAGAGACTGATTCCAATTCCAGGTCTGGGTGGTAAGCATCCAGTCCAGGGGTGTAGACAGGCCTGGGGAAGCCTCAGACATCTGTGCGTTCTCATACCCAGGGATAGTGACTCCATGCTGGGGGCTGTCAGCGTAAGGGGTGGGTGGGTGCTGGGCTTACCTGCAGTTCTGCAGACCTCCTGGGGCCAGCTGACCTCGGTAAATCCCTTTTGTCTAAGCTTCAGTTTCCTGCCTGTGAATG